CAATTTCATTTTTCATTTTTTCTTGAAAGGCCTCTAGCATCTTCATGATGCTATTCTTAAGGTTGATTTCTTTTGCTTCTTCCACCTTGTGATGTTCAGGTCTTGCTGTTGGAGGAGGGCTAGGTTCTGTTGATGCTGTATTGCTATTTATGTTGTTGCATGTACTTCTGTCTTGATGTCTGCCTATCTTCTCATCTAATAGGTATAAGAGGTGCCTGTGTCTGAGTGAGTTGCCATTGGTCCACTCTGTGTTTGTTGTATCTGTGTCTCAGGGAACCCTTCTGGGTCTAATCTTAGCTCTTGGTCTGATTGGAGTAGGCAACTTCTGTGTCTCAGTGAACTGCTCTTAGGTCAGCTCAAGCTAGTTGATTCTGTGACTCATGGATTCTTTCTTGTTCTTATCAGGGTTCTTGGTCCAGTCAGAGCTGACAGATTCTGCGTTTCAGGAAGCCTCTCTTGGTCCAATGAGAGGTGGTGAATTCTACTTCTCAGAAAGCCACTCTTGGTCTAATCAGGGTTGGCAGATTCCTTGTCTCCTGAGTTTACTCTTGGTCTAATGATGGCTCTTTGTCTAATGAGAGCTCTCTCTTTCTCTGGGCTGGATGGGAGCTCTCTGGGCTGGACGAGAACTCTTTGGGCTGGGTGGGAGTTCTCTGTGCTGAATTGGAGCTCTCTGGGCTGGATGGGAGCTCTCTCTGGGCCGGATGGGAGCTGTCTAGACCAGATGGGAGCTCTGGGCCCAATAGGAGGTGGGGGTTGGTCTCCAAGTCTCAGGAAGTGGCAGGGGTCTTGGGCCGATGGGTGTGGGTATAGGGCATGTAGATTGTAGTGTCTGCTGGGGGGTCTTGGAGAAGGGGAACCTTCCCAAGGGAGCCCTGCCCACTGGCTGGCAACTGGGGTCGGGTTTGCCGGTCCTCCCTGGGAATGGCTTGGGGCCCAGGATTGGGACCTAGGGGCAGGCCTCCCTGTGTATCGGATATGGCATTTTAACGTGTCTGTAATCACAGCATCAGGGAGGTAGAAGAAGGAGGACCATGAATTTGAGATTAGCATATTTGCATAGTCAGTTCTAGATCAGCATGGGTTATATAATGAGACACTGTCATGAAAGACAGACAGACAGATAGACAGGCAGACAGACAGAGAGGGAGAGACTATCACATTCACCAGATTAATTTAGAGAACCAGTGTAAATCCTTACATTCTGGCATGATAACATTTGGTCGTCATGATTATGAAAGCCTTCTGGAAGAGTGGGTGTCAGTGGTTCTTTGACATTTACCTCTTGTACTCTTGGGGGGCAGCACTGAGGCTCGATTCACGACAGTTTATTCAGACCTCTGTCAGCACTCTGTCAGGCCTGTATGTATTCATTTTCTTGTCTGAGTTCTTTCTACCTCCACACATACTCTCAGGATGCACAGAGCTTGATGCACAGCTATCCCTAGCCAGCAATTCATTCCATCTCAAAGTGACTAGGTTAGCATGGGCAGGTCCCCAAGAGCAAGAAACTTTGATGGCCAGCTTACAGTTATTTAGCTGAACAGTGCTGTGAGGATCCGAATTGAGTATTTAGTTGGTCTGACATTTATATCTCCCCCTCTGTTCCTTACAGACGTCTGGATTTCATTAATGTATTGTCTTATGACTTACATGGAAGTTGGGAAAAGTTTACAGGACACAACAGTCCTCTGTTCTCCCTTCCTGATGACTCCAAATCTTCGGTGAGGAAAGGAAAAGTCTCAGGTGGTCCAAATTTCCATCCTTGAACCCAGACAATTGGTGAGATTGTCTTCTTTCCACTCACAGGCCTATGCTATGGATTACTGGAGAAAACTTGGGGCACCTGCAGATAAACTTATCATGGGCTTCCCTGCCTATGGACGTACCTTTCAACTCCTTGAAGAATCTAAGAACGGATTGCAGGCTGCCTCAACGGGACCAGCATCTCCTGGGTATTACACCAAGCAGGCTGGCTTCCTGGCTTACTATGAGGTGATGGGATTAGAGACCTCTGTCTAGTAGCTGGGGCTCCTCCCTCACGCTGGAGCAAGGGCTAGTGCAAGAGCCACGGTGGGTGAGAGCTAGAGACAGGCCAAAGAGACAGTTTTTTTTCCAAACAAGGAGATTCAGTGAAATATTTTTCCTTTGGGGTTGTGGAGTCCTTTGTGAGAGATAAGAGGCCACGGAGAACATGAATGGAAAGGAAAAAAAGTAAAGAATCTTAAATTTTACATAGGTAATTCAGACTTGGTCAATGGCCTAAAAAAATGCTGGCCTTTTAGATGTTGACATCTGCAGTACAACTTGAACACCCATATGCCTCTGCCATATTCAGTTTCTAGCACAATGCTGGGGTTGAGATGGGCACTCAAGAGCATGGTGGGTGGTAACAAGTTCGCACTGCCTTCAAGACCTTTAGAGGTACTAGAAGTTCAGGTGCTAGTTGGATAGCTACCTAGATGGTTCTGAGCTCTAATAAACACCAGAGAGATGTGTTTATGAAGACAACAAACAGATTTAGTCCTGGTCACATTTGTGGTGCTGATGTTATTTACCCAAACCCTGACTTTGTTTCTGGTGAATGTCAATCACTTTTCTACTTTTTTTTTTCTTTTTTTTTTTGTAAACCATGGATGCTAGAGGAAGGGCCATGTAACAGAAGGGACATAGTATGCAGAGGCAGTCCTCTGTGAACAGTTTTCTCCCTTCCTCTTTGGTTTGTCATCTCAGGCCCTGGTGACAGGCTTTTCCTGGACCCTTTCTGCTGAGACAAGAAGCAACTGAGTCTTCTGTACTTCTCTTCAAGGCATTTCATGGAACTTACATGTGTTCTCCTGGCAGGTTTGTTCCTTTATCCAGAGAGCAGAACAGCGCTGGATTGATTATCAGTATGTCCCATATGCCTATAAGGGGAAGGAGTGGGTTGCCTACGATGACACCATCAGCTTCACTTACAAGGTGAGACACTTGCTCTTTCCTGTTCCAGTACTCAGGTTCTCATTAGCTTAGATGGGACTCTCCTTAATACTGTGTGTGTGTGTGTGTGTGTGTGTGTGTGTGTGTGTGTGTGCATGTGCATATATGTGCAGACATGGTTCATATTACACTAAGCATCCATGAATATTCCTGATAGGTGGCAGGGATGAGGTGACTTTGACTGCTTTAAATACTTTGCACAATACGTGGAATCATATAGATTTTATCATTTTTCTTTTGTCTGATTATTTTGCTTAGTGTAGTATCTTCCAAAACTCATTCATGTTGTAGTGTGTAGGCATTCTTTTGGCCCTAAAATATTGGAAATATTTTTCTTGAATGAGGTGATCAAGGAAGATGAGTCATATAAAATTGTTCAGATTCCACTAATGAGAAATAGAGGCTAGAGTCTAATGCAGATGATTATCACAAACACCCTCCTTCATTGCCTTCTACAGGTTTGCTCATCTTTGTTGTCTTTCCCTGTACTCAGACAGGAGAGTGGTTAGAAACTGACTTTTGCTTTTGCAGGCAACATTTGTGAAAACAGAACATTTTGGGGGTGCCATGGTGTGGACACTGGATATGGACGACGCCAGGGGCCTTTTCTGTGGCAATGGCCCTTTCCCCCTTGTCCATATATTGAATGAGCTCTTGGTGCAGGCAGGTGAGTAGCTAGGACCTGGAAGCCAGGGTTGTAAGTGGCAGAACCAGACACTGGTGGGTCCGTTCTGCTGGGTCTAACTTCTTTGACTTGACGTTGAATGAAGAGAGCAAACTTTACTGTCAACCAAATTTGACCTGTTTGAGCTTCCTTTGCCTCATCTGAAAATGAAATTGTTCTAGACACAGGGCATTGTGAAGAATAAATGAGATATTGGATGAACAGCATACTTTTTCATAGTTAGCATTCATTTCTGTTTTTTCCTTCTCATATCTTGGGCAAGGGACCAGAGAAGGTGTACACACACACACACACACACACACACACACACACACACACACGCATCTGTTGATATTAGCGGCTACACTGGCAGTTAGGAAATCGTATGTAAGAGCTGAATTCCGTTAGAGATTCAGGACTGGAGCTCAGCCAGGCCAAACATTTACATGAGCTCTAATCTAATGGCTTACCACTTGCTGTCTAGAGTCTCCAGGCCTCAGCTTTGTTTCTGACACCTCCTCCACTATGGCATACTGACAGCTTCTTTTTGAGGTGGCACAACGAATTAGGCCTTGAACAATAGGTCTGGCTAGAGGTATCCAGGGAGGTTAAAGTGAGGGTTTAAACATGGGGACCTAAGAGCCTTCCTTGAATTAGTCACTAGAAACTCAGCAAATCCACAGACGGCCCTCAGTTTAGGTCTATGCTAACACTTTAGTGTAAGGGAACAGAGCTTCAGTGTGGTGGAATTTTTGTTTTCTTTGGGGAGTAAACCATGAAATCTTTCACTGCTGGATTTTTGGATCAAATTCTTCAGCTTTGGAGTGGCTTTAGCACTGTTGGGAATTAATAAGAAAGGAAAGAAGAGGTAGAAACCTTACTATTTTTTTCTGATGATTTTTCTCCAGAGTCCAAACCAACCCCTTTGCCACAATTTTGGTTTACATCGCCTGTGAATTCCTCAAGACCTGGCTCTGAGAGTCTGCCTGTGACAGAGGGGTTTACCACTGATACTGTAAAGATTTTGCCCCCAGGAGAAGCTATGGCCACTGAAGTCCACAGAAAGTATGAAAATGTGACTACAATCTCTAATGGTGGATTCGTGACCCCTGAGGGAACATCTCCTGAAGCACATGTGGTAGCTCTAGAGAGTAGCACTATGGCTCCTGAGGCAAAAACCACAACCTCACTAGACCTTCCATCTGAGACCACTACTGAGAAGACAGTGACAGCCCAGACACAGACAACTAGGGAAGAGACCATGGCCACAGTGGGTAATCAGTCTGTGACCCCTGGGGCGGAGACCACGGCCACAGTGGGTAATCAGTCTGTGACCCCTGGGGCGGAGACCACGGTCACAGTGGGTAATCAGTCTGTGACCCCTGGGGCGGAGACCACGGTCACAGTGGGTAATCAGTCTGTGACCCCTGGGGCAGAGACCACAGTCACAGTGGATAATCAGTCTGTGATCCCTGGGGTGGAGACCACGGCCACAGTGGGTAATCAGTCTGTGACTCCTGGGGCGGAGACCACGGTCACAGTGGATAATCAGTCTGTGATCCCTGGGGTGGAGACCACGGCCACAGTGGGTAATCAGTCTGTGACTCCTGGGGCAGAGACCATGGTCACAGTGGATAATCAGTCTGTGATCCCTGGGGTGGAGACCACGGCCACAGTGGGTAATCAGTCTGTGATCCCTAGGGAGGAGACCATGGCCACAGTGGGTAAGCAGTTTGTGACCCCTCAGGAGGAGACCACAGCTACAGTGGGTAATCAGTTTGTGATCCCTTGGCCAGAGACCACAGACACAGTGGATAATCAGTCTGTGATCCCTGGGGAGGAGACCACGGCCACAGTGGGTAATCAGTTTGTGACCCCTGGGGTAGAGACCACAGACACAGTGGGTAATCAGTTTGTGATCCCTTGGCCAGAGACCACAGACACAGTGGGTAATCAGCCTGTGACTCCTGGAGGGATGGATACAACTCTTGTCTATCTTCAGACTATGACTCCCAGTGAGAAGGGAACTTTGAGGAAGAAGGCTGTGGTCCTTGAAAAGATCACTGTTTCTCCTAGAGAGATGTCCATTGCCCCTAATGGGCAGAGCACAGCTCTAAAGTGGGAGAGATTGATTACTGAAGTGGAGACTTACCCCCAGAATGGATGAATTGGTCTTCATGTAGCATTGGAGAACAGAATGCTGTCCTCCAGCACTGTTGTCCTGTTCCCAGGATACGCTCCTTTCTCTTTTGAAAATGGCTTCACTCTTACTGATGGAAACCACTGCTTTGTCAACACCATAGCCCTTCTAACAAATCTCTGTCTTACAAAAAGAACACCCAGAACACTCTGTTACAGATCAAAGATCATGAGCTCCATTAGGTGGCAAATCCCTGGGGAAAACCCTTGTTTTTTTCTTCTATGTGATATGACAGAAGTCATCTCATGCTGCCACCCATGAACCATTTGTGGGGCAAAGCTGGCACCAAGGCCACCATGGGGCAGTCTCCTTTTTGTCTAATAAACTGGAAGCATGAGAATCTTCCTGTGGTCTCTGCAATTATTTTATTTTTCTTTATGTATATGTGTGTGCCTGTTTTATTTATGTATGTGTGTGTGCCCCCCCCACACACGGGTCTGGGGAGGTTGGAAGAGGGCACTGGCTTTCTTAGAACCAGAGTTACGGGAGGTTGTGAGCTGCCTGGCGTGGGTGCTGCAAACCCAATTCTGGGGGGTCTACAAGAGCAGCAAGTACTTTTAACTTCTGAATGGTTTCCTAGCTCACTCTGAGATTCTTAAAATGACGTCAACAAACCAATTGTCAACTTCTTTCTTTCAAGGTGAATTTCCTCCATTGCGGGTTTTGGAAACATATTTGAGTCTAGTCTACAGTGATGTTTCCCTTTGTACATAATGGTTTTCCTTCTCTAACGTGAGCACCCACATACATCACTGGGGACCAGAACCAAAAATCTATCTCTTCTAGAAAGGTTTCTCATAACCCTCAAGGGGAGCTGTGAGGAAGAGGGAGAAAATGAATTTTCCAATGACATTTTCTGTTTGTAGAGTTTTATTTGTTCCTGTAAAAAAACACTCTCACTTACTTTCTCCTCAAGAAGATGTTGAAAAAACAAAGCATCAGTTTAAAACTATTTTAATAGGGGCTGGAAGAATGGATCAGCAGTTAAGAGAAATGGCTATTCTTCTAGAGAATAGAATTTTGTTCCCAGAATCCAGACTTAAAACTGTTTCTAATTTCAGCACAAGGTTATTTGATGCCACCTTCTGGCTTCTGGGCACCAGGCACACACAGAGCACAAAAAATACATTCAGGCTCTTCATGTGAGTTCCTGGCTCATACTCAGGTTGTCAAGTTTATGTGTCAAGCCTATTTATGATTGGATCAATCTCCCTTGCCCATCTCTGTGGTCTTAATGCAACATGCCAGTCTCCAGAGCTTTCTCCTTAGATATGGCTTAGTGCCCATGCAGCATAGATTCTGGGAAGAGTTTTCCTTGGGAAGCAAGCAGGAATTCATTCAAAGCAAGCCATCATTAAGTGGGAAAATATGAGCTGGGAGTTTATTTAACATGATTAGATGGCATTCTGAAGTCTCTGGATCTAAGTGCCATTACATTAGTTGGACACCACTTTGTGGGAAATGGACTATATTTTGCTGACTTCCTATGATACCAAGGAAAATAAATCTTGAGTCTGTGAACTATGACAATTTTTTAAAAAGCTTGAGTAGCCAGGGTTTTACCAAGGCTAGATTAATAACTTATCAGAACTCCAATGATAAAAGTTAAAACTCTGAACTTTTGAAGTCGTAACATCATATGTATCATATTTAAGTCTCATTTTTTTCACATACCTTAAATCACTTCCTCAGACCTTTACAATTTGCATAAATTGTAAACTTTTTCTTTTCCTTCTGGAAACATACAATCATTTACTATGAGACATAGGTGCTTGATTACTGAGAGAAGTCATTGAAAAGCAAGTTTTTTTTTTTAATGAAAGTAAATAATTAAGTAGCAACAGCATGGTTGGTTGAATTTGTCTTTACATTGAATCCTGTTTTGTGAGTTTACCTTTCTCAGCATGAAGCCTGCCAGCAAGGTAAACCTGTCTGTGAGTTTGCGTTTATCAGCAGGAGACCTAATAGGTCTAGAAAAAGCAAGACTTGATTTTTACCTATAAAATGGACTGGGCTGGCAGCTGCAACATTTGTGGGAGAATCTGGCTAAATCTGCTTGCTGCTGTTAAACTGGTAAAACAGGACAAACCATCAACACCATCACTGAGATCTGAGAAGGCTAAGTCTGAGTAAGAAGTATAAACCAAATGACTTCTGTAACAATTAAAATGACAGAGATCTGCTACCTGGACAGCCAGCCTACGATTCTCCATGATGATCTCGGTGGCTTTGTTTTGGGGTAGAGGGCTTCAGTCTTTGGCTGTCAGACAGGACAGCACTCTGGCTGCCACACAGGGTAGAATCAGCCTTTGGCCCAGAAGGTCTGAGAGACTTTCCTGTGTAAGATGAACTTGGGAAAAGTCACCTACCTTGGCAAGTCAGAGTAGGGTAGTCAACCCAACAGTGTCTACTGTTTGGGTGGGGCCTGGGTGGTGGCCTAGGTATGGGGACAGTTCTTTCTTTGCCTAGTGGCTAGGGTGACCATATTCAAAGCAAGGCAAAGATGGAGTCCTTTGCAGCCCATCTTCTTTGGAGATAGCCTCAGTGCTGCTACCAGAAGCTGATATTTTTGTCTATCAAAAGGTGTTAGATCCCAAGCAATTCCATTTCCCAAAGTCTGGCATTTAGACAAAAGTCAGCATTCCCTTGGACACATGGCTCTTCTATCAACTTATGCCCGTGGTGACCATTAGTATATCAAGGTCTATGCTAGCCTCTAGGCTCCATCTGTCCCTCAGTCCCTACTCACTTGAGTCCCTATTTCAGAGTCATCCTGGCTGGCATACCCCATGCCCTACCTTAAACCTCTCCAGCCCTGAGCTTCACTGCTTGCCTCCCTTCTCTTCCCCATATAACTCAGCCAATTAGCTCTGTGCTCTCTCAGTTCTGCTCTTGACTCTGCTCCTTGACCTCTCTTCATCCGTTTGCCCGCTTTTCTCTTTCCTCTTTCTCTCTTTTCCTCTCTGCTCTCAACACCTCTTCTCATGGTCTGGTCTATTCTGCTGGCCATGTTCAGTCTGGACTCTTCTGGATTTTTCTGGCTGTTCCCTTCCTCGAGTCTATGATAACAATCTTCTGGACCATACCTCATTTTCATTCACAGGGGAGGGATTGAGGGCTATTATCTAATCTATTAAGTATACCTGATTTCAAACAAACTTTATGATCTTTTTTACTTGCTTCAGGCTCAACTTTCACATATGCAGAAGGCTAAAGCTTGTCCCTGCAAATGAATTGTATTTGTATTTAGCATGACTACAAGCTTAGTTCTGAGCACATTAAAGAATCTATCTAATCATTTATAAAGTGACTGACCATTAACTTGCATGTCTCAATTACCTTTAACACTTTACAACAAATTAGTAGCTTTTTAATAAGATTAGGATTTTACAATTTTATCTGTTAAGTTTGAGCTTTAAAAGTTTGAATTGAAGGTTTAATTGAAATTCTTTATTATCAAAATCAAACTTTAAACCATACATATAACACACAGAGAACTGGGAACCTCGTCTTTCTGATTTTTAACAGTATAACAATATCTTTTACAGAGTATTACAATTTTTTCATATGACTCAGTTTCTCTAAATAGTTAAAACTTAACTTAAGTTATCAAAGACAAAGGCCAGACACGTGGAGGTCAGAAGCACCTTGCAGGAATTGATTTTCTTTTTCCACTGCGGGTTGTGGGGATCAAACTGAGGCCATCAGGCTTGTGTGACTTTTACCTGTTGAGCAATAGCTCCAGCTTCAGTGCCTCTTACTACAGAAAATGCTAGAATAACAGGGTCCAGAATGGACTGTTGTGTACACACACACACACATACACACACACACACACACACACACACACACACGCACGAAAATTTATACACAGCCTGGGAATGCTGTTGTTTTGTGATCCTCTCACAAATCTTTTGAACTTCTGAATTTTCAGAGCTCGAAGTAAAAATGAGAGATACAACAACAAAAACCTAGTACCATTCATTACTCACCTACATGTTCTTTTCTTTGAATGAAAACCAAGCTAATTCTGTGCAGGTGTGAATGTGTGGCAGAGTAAGTGGGGAGTGTAGCTGTCTAGGTTCCAAGAGTGTGGGTTTCTTCGTCTCTCTTGCATGTCTGTAGACGGTATTTGATGGCAAGATTGATCATTGTTTAGCATGACTGCTGAAGGTCCCTGCTCAAGGCTGGATAGTTATGGGTAAAGACGAACCCTACAATCAACCTTACTAAAGTAAACATGGAGCAGAAATGGGAGAGACTCGACTGTCTTGGTGCAGAAACAAAGCTTGGATACTCAGTATGTTCCTCCTCAGTAACACATCAGCTGATTTATGTGGCACGATGCCTGGGATTTTCCCAAGCAGGCTCCACCACTGCTCTAGTCTGTGCGGGGACAGAGTGTTGATTGTGCAGTGTTTGTGGAAGCCTCTTTGGTAAAAATGTTTGCCAGGAGGTCTAGGATTTTGTTTTTGTTTTTGTTTTTGTGGTTTTTTTTTTGTACAGGGATTCATATTCTCTTTGTCACTTAAAGATGCTCAATAATCTTGCTGCTGGGATGAAAACATCACTTGTTTCTACAACTCAGGATGGAATTCTGGAAACACTGGATGTAATCGGGTCCTGCACATTGGCCAAGATCTAGACAGAGCAGAAAAATCTAAGTATGTCAGGAAAGTGATTAACAAAGTTTCCAGTTTGGATGGGAACATTCTAGAATGAATGTAGCTTAATATTGCACATATATCAAGAAGGGAAGTCAGGCTTCTTATTTCTGGAAAAAAATATATTCTGTTTCTGATTTTCCCGAGACTCCTACACAAAATTCCATGCTGTTTTCCCCAGCACCATCATTTGCTTAGGACTTTGTCCTTGCCTCCTCTGCTTCTCATTGAAGGTGTGGCTGCCTTCTCATTCCGTCCCCACCTAATATGAGAAATTCTAGGCGATATGATGAGAGCCCATTAGTGAGCAAAACAGGCAACATATAATTTAATCTTTACATTACAAGTAATTTATTATTATTATTTTTATTCTGTATGTGAGGTGTGTACATACTACCGCATGAGTGTAGAGGTCAGAGGACAACTTGTGGGAATCAATCCTCTTACATAATTTGGATCTTGGAATCAAACTTAGATGGTCAGGCTTGATGGCGGGGACTTTCTCCCATTTAACCACCTCACTGGTCCAAAATATGTGTATTTTCGTAGGACATTTTGGAGTCCTACCGCCTTCTCCCATTTAGATAGTTGGCTCTGTAACTAAAAAGTGGGAGTGGAGACAGTGGAGCAGAAATACAAATTTGATGGCTTGTTCCATATGTGCTTGTGTGTGCCTTCTC